TCCACATTGAAGTTCTGAAATCCTCAGCTGAGATAGTCAGATCCAAGTCACTGCTTCCCTTCTGTTAACGTTGGATTGGGGAGGGGGAGGTGTCATTTTAGAGCTTTCAAAAAGTTCTTTATTTCTGCAGGGATTTCAACCTATCCAAGGATGTTCCCTCTGTCCATTGGGACTTCAGGATACCAGGAGACCAAAGCTTTGCCAATATGTATAATTTTTCTTACGCTGATACAGTGGTTCTCAAGGGCAAACAACTCAACTAAAACAAGGGATATTTTTTTTTTATTCCTCCCTTTGAACATAAGCTCTTGTTCCTGGCTTCATAGAAGTGGAGGAACATTGGAAGCTTCTTGATTAATATTTCTGGAGTTGGTTTCTAAGGGGAGGGGCTTAGTGAAGGAAAAGAAGCCAAATTCTATTTTAAGAATGTACTTCCTGTCTGTCTGATTAGAAAAAAATTGGTTGGTTCATGAAGTAAAGATTCCATACATCATGGGGTAAAGGTCCTTTCACCCTTTCTCAACAGATCTTAGCAGCTTCTCAGAGTACAAATCACCTAGCTAGTAAGTCATGTAGGAAACATAACCCACAGAGAAAATACAGTCTTGCCTGTCTCTTCAGAGCTGGGGTGCAGGGTAGGTAGAAGGTGCAGAAGATGCTGGCTGAGTAAGTATGATAGCTTCCAGAGTGCTGTTCATTATCCCTGGTCCGGGCTTCTGGCCAGACTGGGAAATAGCTGCAAATCTCAGATCATGACCCCAGTCCTAAAGCTGATACAGACTGTACCACCACCAAGCACTCTGCTTGCCAGATTCTTCTTCTAAGAAGGCAGTTGCTATAGGCATAATGATAACCCCCTTCAGTTTCAGTATGTCTCAATTAAGGATCTAATTTTCACAAAGGATTATTATTAGGAGTGGTACCAGTTTGGCTAGAGCACTAACCTCCTCTATGCAATCTAATATCCTGGAGCCTTACAAAACACCATCTCTTTTATGATGCTCATGAAGATGTATATACTAAAGGAAAGGAACCATCTCTCATTAGTTTCTTTCCAAGTATAAAAAAAATAAGCCTATGAAAAATATTGGTGAACTTCTGAAAGTGATCCATTTCCTGTTTATTGCCAGCTTGGAAGAAGAAATAACAGGAGTCAAATGATTGACCCCCCCACCCCCTTTGTCTTTCTAGACTCAAGCAAAAAGTAGAATTAATTCCAGATATTAATTACACATACACACAAATAGACATTTTTGTTTCTGTTCACATCTGTCTTTGTTCCTGTTTTATACACTTAGCCAAGAACCGAACCTTGGTGTTTGAAAGGACAAGAGGAAAAAGGAGTTCAGCCATTCATTTTGGCTGCTTTTGAAACAAGTGAAATACATTGTAAACTAATAGGTGAAATATTACCATCTGGCTCCTGGGATTAGTTTCAGTTTTGGAGACCAGTGAAGTCATCAACTCCTCTCTGCCACTATCTAAGCCTCCCACTATGTATAAATACCAGTCTGTTCGTGCAAAAGGTTTGAAATCAGTGAGTCAGTAATTGCACCTAAACCAGTTTTTCATTCACCATACCACTTGGCTTCTGTACTCTCATCTCCTGTGCTCAAACTGAAGAAGAAATTCAGAAGCATTGCACTGCTGCTTGGAGCCACCTAAAAAACATTGGGCCACCCCCAAAATATTTGATTTTCTATAGTGATGAAATTCACATAATGTATTGCTAAAGCCTTACTACATTATACATGGATAATGGTGTCTTCTCCTCCAAAATGCTTCCTTTCCTAAATCATTGATTTTATCATGATTGATGTCCTTTTTTCACCATTGTTCACCTTTGATAGAATGGCACAAAAAGAAAAACAATCTGCAAATTTTCCAGAGAAGAAAGCCAACAAGAATTGTGAGGGTCCCTGTACTTGTATTCACAATCCACAAGGAGGGTTAAAAAATCAAAGTGACATTACAAATTTTTTAGTTGGGCCAACATCCCATAGACCTGTTTATATACAGATTCACAGAACAGTTAGGGCTGGGTGGAGTTTAGATACTATACCACTCTCTCCCCTTTGTGTATTCAGAGAAACTAAAGCTTAGTCATTTACCTAAGGTCACTCAGCATATTAGTGGCAGGACTAAAATCAGGTTCTTTTCACTGCTTGTAGAACTCTCCTATCACATCAAATCTCTACAAGGAATAGTAAGTTTGAAATAATCTGAGAGAAGATTTTAGGGACATCACCCTCCTGTTTCCCAGAGAGCTGATTTCCTTGATTGCTGGATACTGTCCCCAAGTCTTGGCAGCTCCCAATGGCCCCACTTGTTAAATATGGCAGTATGGTGACAGAAGCCAGGGACCCAGCAGAGGTTGGGCAAATGCCCAGGGGATTCCTGTGTCAGTGGGATTTTGGATATTGCCTTCGAGAAGGCCAGTTTGGAACCTGCAGGGGTTGTTTTTATTTTTCTTGAACAATTGAAATTTATTTTCTTGCATTTCTCTGGCCTTTGTTCTGTGCTCAGATGGTAGAGTCCGCTGACTGTGAGTGTGTGTAGGAAGACTTTCTTAGAAGGATTGATATTGTCTTTAATCTCTGACAGAGACCTTGTGCCTTTGCTGCCTCATTCACCTCTACTGTAGACTTCCTGAATTTAGTCCAGTAAGGAGTAAAGTGGGGAGAAGGGCATCACTGTTTATTATTTATTTATTTTAATTAAAAATAATCTTTACCTAAGTAAAGTGAATACAGTGCTCATGAAAAAAGGCTCATAGCAGTTCAGAGACCACTAGCCCTGAACTGGTAATAGTTGCTCAAGTCCTCTTTGACTTTTCCTCTTTTGGACACATATTTGTGGTGGGGAAAAGATGGTCTTAGATGAAAGATTCCCACGCAACTCAGCTGCCACCACTCAAGATTTCTTAGGGAAAAAAAAAAAAAAAAGGACTACAGGTTCTATCTCACATTATCCACAGCTGGGTTATAGTTAACCTCTTTGGTCTACACAGGCCAAGAGAACGGAAGGCAACAATCAATTGATCTTGGGCTTGGATGCAAACACCAAAGCCTCAAAGCCAGTACTTTTTTGGGACACATAATGCATTTTCTTTATCTAAATCACTCAAGTTCTTCATCTTGGCCTGCTTTTTTTTTTTTTTTTTTTAAGCCTATATAGGCATTAACAATTGTGCCACAGAAAAGGGGAGGTAATTCCCTGGGGGAAGGTGCTTTAGGGAGCAGGTAGGCACCGCTCCTCTTCCATCTGCTCCATCTTGGGGTTGCTCTACAGACACAAGCAAAACCCCAAAGCATCAGGACACACTGATTGTCAGCCATCTCTCGCCATGCTGCCTACAACTTTGATCAGAAGTCGGCACACGAAGGTACAAAGTAAGAAATGGAACTGCAGTATTAGGGCCATGCGCCCAAGCAGGGAAACTGTTGTAGACAATGGTGCCATCATTTCAGGCATAGTGGTAATGACAGAGGGGACGGAGTCCTGCTGTTTCTGCATTGCAGACCTCCCATCTGAATGTCCTTGTCCTTCATCAGCACTCTCCAGCCCCCCCAACCCCCAAGTCATCTCCTACTCCTCTCTTTTCTCTGGAGTGCCCTAACTATCCTAGGAAAATTCTGGCACTTCAGAGTTAGGAGGAAAGAGAAATATTCATCTAACTTTCCCAAATGTTAAAGTTAAACAAAGCACCTAAAAGAAAAGAAAAAAAAGACTTATAAAAATATAATGGGGCCATCCCCCCAAACTTCTCACATTATCTATGATACATGAAATGTCAAAATATAATGAACAGACTTTCTACATATTATTCTCTCTTCCCCTATATATACCTAATCCACAGTAGCCTCAGTACTTCCCTTTCACCTCTTAAAACTTTACTCTGTAGATCCACTAGATAATAAATCTTTTTCATCCAACTGGCCCCCACCTTCCCCAACATGCACCCATTTGCAATCCCAAAGAGACTCTCCAAAAAAATAGACATTTGAAAAAAGTACATCTGTTTATACTCAGTCTATCTGCATATTACTTCTTGAGATTATTACTTTTTTTAACCATAAAAAAGATTGCATATTGGCAATATAATGAGAAAACCATGGCGGCCATTTCCGGGTACTGGTGGAGGATTAGTGGGGGTAGGTGTTGAAACACAGAAGCGAGAGGGCTTACGGAAGAATGAGTGTGGTCCCTCAACTCGAGACATGGGGATTGAGGTGGGGTCACTTGATTCCCAATCCTCAGGCCTCTGAACTTTAGTCATTCTCTTCTCCTCTGTCCACCTTTCCCCATCTCCACTACCCATGTCCATGTGTACAACCCTCTTGAAGCAGAGGTGGAATGGCTTTTTGGCATGTGTCCACATGGGCCAGTTTGAAGACAGATATGGCATTTGGAGGGATAGGATGTGGGACACATGCCAGAGCAAGCTTATTTTGTGACTGTTTCCACTTTGGGAAAAATTGTCCATCACTTCTGTGACTTTAAAAATTTAAGCAGTTACTAGGCTGATAGGTTAAGAAACAAATCTTTTGTTCTTGTGGTTTTGCATTAATATTAAGCATGAATATATATCATATATTACATTGCTTTCCTTCTGCTCTGGGGCAGACTGTACTCTCCTTCCAAATAGGAAAACTGCACAGTCCGCGGACTCAAATTTTAAAAGTTGTTATTCCCCAACTCCCCATCCCCACCTATGCCCTACCCTGCCTCCCTGGCCCTCTGTTGGTTCCTATATTAGAAAAGTCCCACCCGCCCCATCCCCACCAACCCACCCCAGGTTAAATAGATAGTGCCACATTCTAGAATTCATGCATTAGTGCATTTTGCTATTGCACATATTGCAGAGAGAGAGAGAGGGAGTCAAGAGTTGTGTATGTGCCCCTCCCTCTTCGCCTCTCTTCCTTAGGCTCCCAGATTCCTGTGCGCTTCCCCACTGCCCTGTCCCAGCCTCCCCCAGCATCCCCCCACATCCCAGCCCTTCACTGGTTGTGGACGTCCTCTCTGCGGACAATCTTGTAGATGATCCAATAGAACATGTTGAAGATGAGGAAGGCCATGGGGAAGCCAATGCGGGATATTTTGTCGATCTTCTTGGCCCTCTGGATGAAGAGTTTTCGCATCTCCTCCGGGGACTTGGATGGTGCGGGAGGCGGATTGGTGGTGTTGTTGTTGTTGGCGCCTTTGACTGAAATGCCATCCTTGCCCTGCAGACAGGCTGGGCCCATGCCATAGGCAAAGTTGAAGCGGCCCTCTCCTGCCTCATCCTCCTGGAACAGATTCAACATGGGGCTCTACTTAAAATAAGACAGGGGCTGGGCACCCTCCCTGCAAGGCACTCCCCCGGGGCCAGGCCATGCCCATCTGGCTCTCCCTGATCCCCACAATGTACTCTCCCAGGTGTCTGAAGGCTTTTTGGCTGGCTGGGGAGTTCTGCCTTATAGAGGGGCGCCACTTGCATGCGGAAACAGGTGCAAACCAGGGGATGGGAATGTGGTTCAAATTCTGGAGGTCCATGCTAGATCTCAGCACCATCATGGGCTGGCAAATCCCTTCCTTCTGTGAGTCTCAGAGTTCTTCCACGTTTTTCCTGTACGACGGGTTAAGATTTACCTCACTACATTTCAAGGCTTTGACCCTCAGACATTTCATTGGGTCAATACTCAGTGCTGTGTAATGGATTTTGGTCTGAAGTTCAGAGGACAATTTGGACAGATCCCCTGTTTTGCCTCTGTTGCTTCCTTGCCCTGGTCCCCACCCCCTTGTTACCCAGGAGAGAACAAGAGATCTCAACCTTCCTGTTTCACAAGCCAGGGAAGCCATAGCTTCTTCCTGCCTCCTGTCCCCACGTCTCTGGAAGTTGTAACCTCTGGGTTTTTATGAAGATCTTGTTCATCATTTGGTTCCAACTTACCTTTTCAGGGTGCCCCTCCCCCATGTGCTTTGCACCTCTGCCAGCTTTGTTGGACTATTTCTGTTTCCCTTGTGCAAAATGCCTGTTTCCCTTATCCCACTGGCTTGTCCCTGCTCCAGGTCAGTGTGATCTCGCCCTGGCCTGAGTCATGGAAGCACTTTTGTCTGCTCTCGTCACATCCAGCCTTGCTATCTCTCCATGAAAATTCTGCAGTAGCATTGAAACTCCAGTATTTTGGTTTCAGCTGAACTGTTTGTTGATTCAGTGTGTGGTTCTGGGAACGTTTTATCAGCTCACATGGCCTTCCTAGATATGGAGTGCTTTTAGGATAGGAATTCTGTCTTTTGCTTGTCTCTGTGCAGGACAGGGCTAACCGAGAATAAGATATTCAATACAGAACTTGCCGGTGCCTCTCTGTCTCTACTTGTGCCACCCTAGGATGGGCCAGCATCTGGATTTGTTGCAACAACCTTTAGCTTAGTCTGGAGGCTGCCAGCCTCCCTGCCACCCCCCCCACCCATCTGGATTGTTATGAAAGAGATCTTATTGGTTATCTTTTTCTTGGAACTTTTTAATAGGGCTGCCATTGACTTCAGGAAAAAGAAAATCCTTAACATGGTGAGCAAGGCCTCAGATGACCTGGATCCTGTCTACCTCCAGTCTCGCTATGGCGTTCTCTAGTTAACTTTCTATGCCCCAGTCACCCTGCAGTATTTCCATATATTTGAAATATATCTGCCTTTTCTTCTTTGGATCTCTGTTCAAGTTGTCCTTTTTTCCTGGAATACAACCTAGACCTGACCCTTGCCTCTGACTCCTCTTTTTTCTTCTTCTTTTCATTTTTTCTTTTTCTTTTCTCTTTCATTCATTCTTTTTTTTTTCCAGCACTGGGAATCACCCCAGGGTCTCATGCACTCTAGGCAAGAGCTCTGCTACTGAGCTATATCCCCCGTCTCTTTCTTTCTTTCGCCTAATTTCTTTCTCAGAAGTTCATTGGATTAGACAGAGGGGAATGAAGGGAGGAGTGGGGGGGGTGAGAAGAGAAAAGAATAGAATGAACCAGACATAACTTTCCTATGTTCACCTATGAATACACGACCAGTGTAACTCCACATCATGTATAACCACAAGAATGGGAAGTAATACTCCATGTATGTGTAAAATATCAAAATACATTCCATTCTATGGTCACTTGTAACTAAAAATAACAAGAAAAAAATATTATTTTTTTTTAAAAAAAGCTTTCCCTGAGCTCCCAAGGAGAGGTTAGCTATGTGCTCAGTAAAAATGCAGCCCCCACTCCCCGGCACTTTTAAAGCTCTTATTCCTGGGGCTTTTTGCCTAGAATGCAAGAGGCTCTAGGTTCCACCCCCAGCATTGAAAAAAAAAATCTCTTATTCCACTGTACCTCCTTGACCAATGTCTGTCTCTCCCATTCGATTGTCAGCTCTGTGAAAGCAGAGGGAAAGCTTGTCATGGTCACTACAACCTCAACACATGTGAACAGGTCCTGGCACATGAGCTCAAAGTTGATTGAATAAATAAATGGTTACTCATACTTCTTCATCGTCACCAGCCTTAGCTTCCTGGCTTTTGTTCATTTGTTTAAATGGGGTTGTATTCCTGGCACCGGGAGGGTCTGAGACTCATGATAAATGCCAGGGAAATGTTGGTCAAATGAATGAACCTGGTCCAACACCCTCAACACAGAAGTGGAGGAAATTAGGCAAACTCTGTTACACATAGGTTCTCAACAAATATTCATCTATGAGTAGGGCAATAGGAGAGGGCTTATTTCAGGCCAAGGAGAGTAGTACTTGCTGGCCAGATTACCAGGTTCGATACATGAAAGGGGTCTAGCTCTGACTCTGTGACATTTAAATATAAATTTGCCCTTGTGGAGTATTGAAGTACACTCAACATTTGGGCGGGATGACTGTATTTATATGTAGGGAAGTACCACCACATTAACTTTCTATGTATCTTAGGAATGAATTATTCTCTGCCTTTCTCATCTGTTAAACACTAGAATGGAAGGAGCTGAGGTTTGGAACTGAAAGTTCCTCTGAGCCAAAAGATTATCAATTTCACATTGTATCTGGGAGAAAGGAAATTCCCTAGGAATGACCGGAAAGAAGCTTGCTATTCCTATTATAACCAGCAGGTGGCAGGAAACATCTGCCTATCCGCTGTTGGGGTTGAGGCTGGGGAGTGGAGCTGGGGAATCTGGTAGTGTACCCTGGAACCTAGAGAGGTTGCTCATAAACCTGCTGAGTCTAGGCCTCACAGAATTTTCTAATAATCTGCCTAATGAGGCTGCCTAGGGATTGGAAGACTAGATGCTTTCTGCCCAACAAATGAGGTAGCATGGGAGAATGGTTAGAGTTGGGGAGTTTGGCCAAGATCACGGTCTTCCAGAAATTCAGGCCTGTGTCTAGTTCCTCTCCGATCACAATCTCGGGCCTAAAATCCCTTCTGCATACTACTGCTAAAAGGAGATTTCTGTGACCCACACTTGGATACCTCTAATGTATAAGCCTCAGCTGGAATGGCTTAATCCAAAGGAAGTTCTTTGCTATGATGCGGCCAAATCTGTGTCCTTATAGTTTCTGAGATTTGGGCCAAGTTCAGAGTCCTTATGAATGAGGTCACATAAACTCAAATGTGCCCAACAGGACAGCGGAGAGAACTGCAAGTGCTCAAGTGAACAGCCTCATTAGGCAATCTGTTAGAAGAGGTGGTGGTAATCTGGAGAATGCATTCTGTACCCAAAGACAGTTCCGGCACATGAATTTCATGTGGGATTGTGTGGCCAGTACGGTCAGATGCTGTGATTTTGTCAAGTGACACCAAAAGTGTGGTTTTAAAAAGATCTGAGCACCTTATTCTAGATTTTTTAAACGCTGCTGGCTAAATCCACGATATTTGCATTTTGAATTTAGCCTTCTTAGTACCAGTTAGTGACCTGTGCCTTGAGTTAGGTTTTACTTCTTGTTTATGATCTCATAAATTCAGGATTATGTTTATCTGCCTCACTGCTTAACAGATAAGAGCTCATGGTGTATGGTTAATGTTTTGGAAAGAACACCTTGAGCACTTCCCCTGCCTGTGCCATTTGTCCTTGCAGTGGGATCCTGGGGACTTGCTCTGTCTCACTGTGGTCAGTGTCTCTCTTCAGTTGCAAGAGAGGAGAGAAAGAGATGATTTCTGAGATTCTCTTGCAGGAGGGAGCTGAGCAGGAGAATGTGATCAATTCTGGATAGTGGTTTTGTTCACACCTTACCTGGCTGGAGATAAAAGTTTTTGCTTTCCTTTAGGGGGGAATTGGGTATGGGGGATGTTGGAGCTAGCCTTTGGGAGTACAGTAGCTACCTGGTACCTAACCACAGGGGACTCCGTTTACACTGCCGTCTATGCAAATATACCTCCTGGAGTTGTATAGTGGTGGTGCCCAATTGAAAGGTTTGGTTTAGTCACATTTTTGGACATAGTCTTTCCAAATAAGTGTTTCCAACAAGTGTCTTTAGCAGAGGAAAATGCAGGGAAAATAAAAAAAAAGGAAAATAAAAATGAATCCCAGAGGGCTGGGGATATAGCTCAGTTGGTAGAGTGCTTGCCTTGCATGCACAAGCAGCCCCCCCCCCAAAAAAAAAAATTCCAGAGACAATTGTATTTGGTCAGTTTCTTTCTTACATGTTATTATTATTATTTGGTACCAGGGATTGAACCCAGGGACACTTAAATGCTGAGCCACATCCCCATCCCTTTTTATATTTTATTTTTAGACAGGGTCTCACTGAGTTGCTTAGGACCTCACTAAATTGCAGAGGCTGGCTTTGAACTTGGATCCTTCTGCCTCAGCCTCCTGAGCTGCTGGGATTACAGGTGTGTGCCACCATGCCTGGTGCTTACATATTTTTTTAATAGGGAGTAGCTAGAAATCTAGTGGACAGTATAAAAAGGACTAAGGCTAGGGATCTTTTAAGATGGTCTAGTTGCAGAACCCACAGATCCCTTTCCCAATGCATGGTGATGTCTTAACTCCAAGGACTTCCTCTGTCTCAGAAGGGGGTGCCTCTTCCCTTTAGCACACTGCCAAAAGTCAACTGAATCATGTCACTGATGTTTAAGAAACACATTGATGGAAATGTGTGTGTAGTAACCATTTTAATTAATTTTTTTTTTGTAGTTGTAGATGGACAGAAATGCCTTTAGTTTATTTGTTTTTTATTTTCATGTGGTTGGTGCTGAGGATCGAACACAGGACCTTGCACATGCTGGGCGAGCACTCTGCCACTGAGCCGCAGCCCCCACCCTCATTTTACTTTTTGACACAGCTTCTCCACCATCCTCTAATTTGATCCCCACCAGTCTCTCCCAATTGACACATTGAGTCCATTTTAAGGCTGGTGAAACTGGGCCCAGAAAGAGACTAACTTGAAGTCATATTCTAAAGAAAATCCAGGAGCCAGAGGTTTTTTTGTAATTGATAGCATTCAGTAGTTATTTTAAATAGGTCCGTCTGAAGCTTGTAAGACCTTGGTATATCACAGGTGAGTGGTGTAACCTGATAGATCAGAGTGTCTGGGGTTCTTGATTGCCCTAATCTGCTACTGGAAGTATTTCAGGGCAGGCTGTCTGACTGGAAGGCTTCCTCTTTATCCATTAGTGTGTTTCTCCCTTTGTTCAATTGTTTAACAAGGCCTATTGTACGTTCATAATACATCAGGCTCCGTGTTAGGTACCAGACATGTAGTACTAAGCAGAACCAGACGTGGTCTCTGTCCTTATGGGCCTATAACTCAGTGACTAAGAGAAGGACATTAAACAATCACATGGTAGAATGTGTAACTATTGACCAACACAATGTTTAGAAGGATAGAAATCGAGTTCATTTGGAACATGGCCTTGGTTAGCACACACAACACCTTTGTGCTCATTAGAAAAAAAAGGGGTCCCTTTCTCTGGGCATGTGAACTGGAGTCCTTTCAGATAAAGTCTCAAGCCAGAACATGGCTTAGGAAGAGTCCCTCCTTGGCTAGGGCCCTTGTAGGATACAAACTGCACTAACACACCTGATACCCTTATATGAAAGCCTTAACAAAGGACCTAGGCCTTCAGCAGCTGAGAACTGGACAGGAGTGGGTTGATATCAAGTGGGGTGGTGTACTGGTACTGGAAAAGCAAGAAGAGAAGAGAGAATGCGATGTCTGATGTCCTTTGTGTACGAGGAGCTAAGAAAAAAGCTATTGTGGTTGGTGATCAGACAGCAAAGGGATGAGGCTAAAGAGGGAAGTGGAGTCTCTGATCCCCAGGAGAAAGGTCTTGTGGGGAGGTCGATATGGTCCAGGATGGGGGGTGGTTGGATCCAACAGGCTGCCCTCTCCCCAATGGCATTTAATAACCTCTGAGTTAACAGATGTGGGTGACTTTTAAAAGACAGCCTGCCAAACGTTCCTTTATTCAATCCCCACACTGGGAGGAGGATTTGCTTGTGGCCCCTCCCTGGGGACAGGCAATAAAGACCTGGAACCTTGACATTCTGTTTTAAGATCCCGCCTTTTCTAGCACAGTTTCCTTCTGGAACCAAGCCCAGTGAAGTAACGTAGTCTCGCAGAAAAAAACCAACACACGTCTCCCACCCTCCCTTCTTTAGGTATACAGTTAGCTATTACCTTGACCCTTCAGCTTTTGCTCCATTAGTTCTGCCTTTAGGTAACCTGGTAACTTCTGCGTGGTTGCCATCATGATTGTAGGAGTGACCGCCTGTTGACCCAACTAGGTCATTATATGGGGTGTGGGCCGTGAAACTAAAGATCTCTAGGACTTTAATTCCTATTTCTTGCTTGCCTGGCCCAATGAGAAGGATGGCCCAGGGAAAAAAAGGTATCACAAGACAAGACTGCTTGGAACTTTCCACCCACTGCCAGCTGTCCCTCCTTAGGTAGTGACCCAAAGGCCTACCTTGTGATGTCTCCGCTTCCTCCTGAATCGGAGCAGCTCTTTGTGTTGCCGAGACACAAAGTTGACAGCGGCGTACTCTAGCAGGGCTGAGAAAACGAAAAGCAGGCAAACTGCCATCCAAATGTCAATGGCTTTCACGTAGGATACCTGGAGCGAGGGTAGGGAGAAACGCAGCGGGGTGAGAGCCGAGGAGAGTGGAACAGCAGTCCCCCTTTACCTCCCATTTTATTTTCCACAGTTTCAGATGTGACCATGCTCCTAAAATATTAAATGGAAAGTTCCAGAAATAATAACTTATCAGTCTTAAGTTGCACAGTGTTCTGAACTGTGTGATGAAATCTGGCATGATCCTGTCCCATCCTGTCCAGAATATGAAGCATTCCTTTGTGCAGCATATCCATACTATCTCTGTTACCCATCCACAGGTCACTTGGTAGCTTTCCTGGTTATCAGATTGAAAGTCAAAATATTGATGTCTTGTGTTCAAGTAACGCTTATTTTACTTAATCATTGCCCTAAGGCACAAGAGCAGTGATGCAGGTAATTTGCATATGCCAATTTGGATATCTCTCACCATAGCATAGATGAGGCTGTCATTTTTAAGAAGGACTTGCTTGCAAAGTTGACCCTGGACTGGTGTCTGGGATCTTGCATTTGGGGACTGTTCCTACTTTCCCTAACTGATGAGCATGGCTCACTGTACTGTAACTGCTTATACAAGAACATGCTTTATGCTGAACTTTTGATTTCCACCAAGGAGTCTGAAATTTTGGTACATGTTAGGCAGAAAGTACCAGCCCCCAGTTAAAATTTTGGGTGCTCAGTACCAAGAGAGTCTCTGCCTCTCTGGACAGATGTATCATGCGTCTACAGTTTTGTTGTTTGAATAAGTAAGCTCTTTGTGACTCCTTATGGGACAGAGAGAGTTAAGAAGCCAGACATGGATTCCTGTGTCTGCCTGTGTTATTATAATTTATTAATATATCCTTAGTTTGTTACTATGATAAATCTTAGCTGGGAGTGCAAGGGTATATACTGAGTCCTGAGTCCTGTCAGCTCTCTGAATGTGGCGATGGTCTTGGAGACCCCTGATACAACTATTTACTATTTACCGTGAAAGGAGAAGAATATGATAATTAGCTCTAAATGTGCATGGAGGAGAATGCGAAGTTAAGAATTTGAGGTTTTTGGAGACAGGGTCTTGTGACGTTGTTGCTGAGGCTGGTCTGGAACTCCTGGGCTCAAGAGATCCTCCTGCCTCAGCCTGTGGAGGAGCTATATACCACTGCACTTGGCAAGTTTTAGTTTTCCTTGTTTTTTTTTTTTTTTTTTGTGTGTGTGTTTGCAAAGTTGAGTTTGAATAGTAGATGAAACAGAGTATGTGTCTAGTGATAGTAGAGAATGGAGCAGAAGGTGGTGTCTGGCAGCCTGTATGGAATGCAATGTTGAGCCTGGTGCAAGGTTGGATGGATTAGAACACTGGACCGTGAACATATAGTAGGTAAACACCTACTGATAAGTTCCATATGCTCCCCACGTCTCTGGCAGTCTAGGCAGATGAGTGCTGTCTTTTTCTGTGCAGGTGTTCTGCAGTGTCACTGACCTTGGGCAGGGATGCTCTGGAGCCAGAGCTCTGAGTGGTCATGGTGAGCACAGTGGTGATGCCCAGGCCCACACGGGCTGGTGCTGCATCCATGTTTATCCAAAAGGAAATCCATGAGAGGATGACGATGAGCAGGCTCGGAATATACATCTGGATCAGATAATAGCCCATCTGCCGCTCCAGGTGGAACCGTGCCTCAATACAGGTGAATTTACCTGTAAGAAATTATAGTGAGAACACAAGTTAGGCTGGTGGGTGGGAGCAAAGGGTTTGGGGTCAAATAGACTTGAGTGGAGTTCTGGTTCAGCCACGCATTAGCTGTGTGCTTCGGCAAGAGTATGAATGGCTCTGTATCTGTTTCCTCATCTGTGGTTAATTGGGGATAATACAGTTTGTCCTCCATAACAGCAGGTTCTACATTCATGGATTCAACCAAATGCAGGTAGAAAATATTCAAAAAAAAAATGCATCTGTATTGAACACGTATGGACTTTTTTCTTGTTATTATTCCCTAAATGGTAAAGTATAATATGTATTTACATAACATTTGCATTGTATTAGGTATTGTAAGTAATTTAGAGATAAAGCACACAGGAGGATGGGTGTAGGTTATGTACCAATACTACACCATTTTATATAAAGTTCTTCAGCATCCTTGGATTTTGGTGTCCAGTGGGGGTCCTGAAACCAATCCCTTGTTGATACCAAGGGATGGCAGTAATAGTAGTAGTAGTAGTAGTAATACATACTTCATGTGGTTATTCGTATGGTTATTGTGAGGATAAAATGAGATGATGCTTTTGAAGAACTTAGCACAATCCTCAGATATTATAAATGCTTGGAATTGTTACTTGTCTCCATCATCATCATCATCATCATCATCATCAATATCACCATCCTTGACCTTGGTCCCCACTCCCTCCCTTGTCGTGAGCATGTCCTGTACTTTCACTTGATCAGGGATGAAGACAGTGCCTTTGGAGGCTCTGAGACTTCTCTGAGCTGACCCAGAAGAGGATCCCAGATGGACCAGAATCCAGGCTTTCTGTCTCTTCAACTGGGATTTCTATTTGCACCAGAGCCTGGAGTGGCTTCTCTCAGTTCCTCCCCTTCACCCCTTCTTCTCTGTGACCTGCCACCAGTCAATACCTTTCCTCTCAGCTGGGTTCAGACAGCAGCTCCCCACCAGCCTGCCAGCTGACATGCCAGTTCACTGATTGTCCCCCACAGTGCTTCCGTGAGCTCTCCCCCAGTCTGTGACAGGGCATGCAAAGCCAGTCTTGATCCAACACCAGTTCATTCCCGTATCGATCTCCCCGCCAAGGAGAGACAGGGTGTGAGCTAAGCAGTTGTGGTTTTCCTCTCTTCCTGTGGCTCCCAGGTGAGTGGACCCCTTCTAACTAGTTACTACAAGGTAGCTCCCTCTTGCTGAGGTCTCGCATGAGTATTCTCTATACTTTTGCCCTATCAGAAATGCCAATTCCTGGGTGATAGGGACTGTCCTCCCAATATGAGTTCTTCCCTTCAGCCTCAGGAACAGGATCCATTCTGCTACCTCAAATAAAGACTGTTTTTACCAGCTTCCCTTGTAATTAGGTATGGCCTAAACTTAAGTTACTTACCCCAGGACTCACAGGGAGAAAATTTCAGAACCACTTTTTGGTTTCAAAACCTGTTCTCTTAACCACTAGGTGATAAATACAGATCTGTGTGCACCACGGGCACTGTACAAGCACTATAGAATCAGTGATAGAATATGAGCATTTGAGATGACCTCTGGTCCTGGTTGGGGGTGGGATCTGAGGACAGCAACCCCGCATACCTACCTGTGTTGTAATGCTTGGTGCAATATCTCAGGTCCTTCTCTTCCTTCAGGATAAACTGGGGCAGGGTTAGTCCATCTGCCACCTGTACAGCTCCTTGCTCCTGCCACTCAAAGATGAGGTCATTCATGGTGTATCCAACTGGGATGGGATGAGAAGAAGCGGCAGTGATCACCTAGGGTCACTTGTTAGAAGCGCGTTGGGGTTAGGGTTAGAGGCTGGGCGAGCCATCAGTCACTCGATGGAACTCACAGGATCATGCAGCCTTCTCTTTCTCACAAAGGAGGGCAAAACTTTGTTTATACCTCCCCCACAACCCTCCCCCACTCCTTCCTCCATATTGTGCCTTAGCTTGTCCTGGTGCCCTCCCCTGCCCCCATGCTGCTCTGCCTGCACACCATCCTGGCCAGCCCCCTCTTTCTCTTGCACTAGATTTTCTTGGGGGGGGGGAATGACTCTACTGTTCACGTTCATGGTAGGACAATCTGCTGGGAGGGGATAAGGTATGAAATAGTGGCACCAGCTAGACTAATCAGACTCTCTGCCCCAGGACTTTTGACTCTTGAGAGAGGTAAAGAAGGTTCTGAGTTGGCTGGTACTGATTCCCCTCGGAGGCGGTGCTCCAAGCAAATGGTCCATTAGTTCCCAACACTTAAATGCTGTGCTCTGGTTCTTGAACTTTTAAGTTAATCAGTTGGTTTCTATGTTTGCAATGTAGGAAGTCAGGTTTTCTTTCTTAGCACTACTGGGGATTGAATCCAGGGGGACTCTACCACCGAGCTATATCCCAGACCTTCTTAGTTTTATATTTTGAAAGATTCTCACTAAGTTGCTCAGGCTGGGCATGAACTTGTGATCCTCCTGCTTCAGCTCCCAAGTTACTGGGCTTATACACATGGGCCACCGCACCTGGCTTCCAATCTGTTAAAATCCTGGTCCTTCACAAAGCCTCCAATACCCTCTCCTTCCAGTAGAGGAAAAGACTCCTCTGCCAAGTGGCTGCAGCATTTGCATGTCTAACAACATTTTTAGCACTGGCTGCCCTTAGTAAGAGTTACTTGTGCAGTCAGTCGCCTCTCCTCTGCTGAAGTGAACATCGCTGGGAGTTCATGGATCTTGGCCTATTTGAGATCTTTCTCCTTAGTTCCTGATAAGCACAGTCACAAGAGACATGGAACAATGCTTGTTTGGAGAATGCTGTTGACTCCAAACTTGGGCCTCGGTTGAAGAAGGTAAGGGCAGTTATATTTCTAGTGTATTTTCTACAAGCAAAGCCCTTATGTAGTGTTTTGAGTTTTTACAGTGTTTTTTTTTTTTTTTTTTTTTTGGTAAATGGGAGCCTGGTTCTCTAGAAAGGACTCATGCAAAGGACTCACAGCTTTCCAGTTGCATGATACAGGTCTGGACATCCATGGGGAAATTCTTCAAGTCCATGGGGCAGGCCAGTGTCAGAGTGATTCTAGGAAGACAGGGAGTTAAATGATGCTGAATCCATATTCAGAGAGATTACATCTCCATCCTAGTTACTAGCAGAAAAGCAATTATTCTGGACAGGGAAAGAAGATCAAAAAAACTAGTGTTCATTGAATAAATGTATGCATATTTCGAAGTTCCTTATATGGAAGTAGAGGCTTAGAGAGGCCAAGTAGCTTGTCTAAAGTAACTCGGAGTCAGAGGAACTTACAGGTTTCTTTGGAGTCTGTCTAGCTTCTAGAGACCCATCTTTAATAGGCTGCCTGGAGGTCAGGGGCTCCTATTCTGACTCTTCTGAAGAGTCCTCAGGTAGAGACAGAGTCCAAGTTATCAATGGAGCTGTACCAGGTTCAGGCATCCTCCCAGGGGCTGTAAGTGGATCCTGACTGCCTCCCCTCACATGCTGGGCTCCTTAGAAGTTATTTCAAAGAGGGCCCCTGTCTGCTGAAGGTTCACACCCAGCTGACACATCTGTGGGCTTCTGCCAGGGTCAGGTGGCAGGCGGCACGATCCCCAGGATTCTGGGCTAGCTATTTATTTCGGGTTGTTCAACCTTTGCCAGGGCTGCAGGCTTTCCCCCCTCAGGGGAATGGACGCCTGTGGCTGGGGCTGGGATATGAGACTTCCGCTGGAAAGGCTTTGCCAACATCAAAACGCCCACTGCAGGTGGCAAGGAAGAAAAGCTCTCAGATCACCAGGCCAACTCCCTCTTCTGACAGGTGGGGACACTGGGGTGCAGGGGAGAATAGATTGGGACTTATCTAAGGTTGCAGAGCAAGCTGATGGCTCAGCCAGGAGGCAAAACCATGTCTCTGAGCCTTTGGACTCAGACTACCAGTGGGGTTGGCTCGTGTGTTGCTGGCTGGTTTTCCTGCAGCGCTGTCCTGCAGTGTTCCCCGTCACACCCCAAGATGCCTAACTGATGCTGTTCTGGGGAGACTTAGCTGTGTGCATCTCAGCCGTGCATGGGGAAAACGGCCCTTTGTGAACCTTCTCCCTCCAGCTCACACCCACAGCTCTGCATGTGGGTGCCTTCAAGTACAAAGGAGAAGCAAGAAAGGAAAAGGGGGAAGGAAAAGGGAGGGGAGGAAGGGGGGAAAGGAGGAAGTGGGGAAAGGAGGGGAACAACAAAGGGAAAGGGAATGCAGTGGAATTCTGAAGATAAAAAGCTCCAAAGTGGGGCAGCTGTCACACTGGGTTAATTTCCTGAAGTTGAATGACCTTGGGAACATCACTTTCTGCTGATTTGTCCTTCTGTCATGCAGCACTGGGACTTAGCTTCCTGGAGATAGGAAACTAGCCTGGCAGCAGCAAAACCCAAGCAGGGTGGCCCTCTCCTCCCCCAGCCTGCCAGGGCCTCACCAACCATTTTCTAAAAACCCATGGCTCTCCCCCTCTGCATGCATATGGCGCTGAGGGAGGTGAGCCTGCCCCTGGGGGGTGGGTTCCTCGAACCCCCTCCCCACCTATCCCATGGGAAACTGGGTCTAGTTGCACCTGAGGGTTAGGTGTGACCTCTCCCACAGGCCTGACCTTGTAGGCTCATCTCGCAATAGAAATAAGGTCCATTCCCCTGAAGAACTGAAGGGGGAGGGCGGGTCATTTCTGACCAGTGTCCTTTAAACTACTTTGAAATAAACACATATTTATTCTTTGAATATTTAAGTACCTATTGAATACCATTCCCTGCTGTAGGCTTTGGGATTAGCCCAGGTGGGAATCTGGGTTCTGTGATGAACTAACTGTGGGAATTTAGGCCTGTTATCTGAATTTTTCAGACCCTCACTTGCCTCATCTGCAAAATGGGCGTAATAAAACCTATTTCATACAGTTGTGGAAAGGATTAGGTCCATAAAAAATACTTAGCACAGTGAGTAAATTCTCAATGAATGGTACTTATTATTTTTGCATGTGTCAGGCCATGTCTTTACCTCTTGGCCATTGGTCAGTGTCCCCATACCTTGGGGGAGGAGATTTGGGACTAGGTGGGGAGGAGTGGCAGGACACTCTGAAAGCTTTGCCCCTATCCAGTGTCTTCAGAATACCCCGCAGCTGAGGAAGGGGGTCTAGCCTCTTGAGTGCCAGCTCTGTGGGAAGGGGGTTTACAGAGGACAGAGCGGCCCTGCCGGAGCTTGTGGCAGGATCATCCACCCGGCAGGCCACCAACTTCCTGGTTGCTATGATTTTTCAGGCTTTGTGCCATTGCTTCTGCCAATGACGATCGTATTTAACTCCTCTTTCTTGTTCTGTTGAAATGCTGGGTTGCTTTAACAACACCTTCTCTAGGATCCCTTCCCTGATCTCCTTGGTTATGTGAACCACTTGCCCCTGGGACTCCACGTGGTGTTTTGTTCTTACTCATTGAGCTTAGGTTACAAGCCGGCCATGCCTATGCTGCAGAGGGGTTGAGTTGCAGGGCCTGTTCTCCTCTGTCAGACCCCCACACTGGTGCCTGCTTCCGGAGGGCAGTGGGCAAAGGCACGTTCTCAGGAGGGAGTGGACAGACCTGTAGGGAACTCACCTGATGCTGTAGAGGACATTGCCATTCCGGGAGATTCTCAGCAGTTTGTTGTCTGTGGTGATCTCGTGGAAGTGGGCCCCCTTCTCGTTGGCAAAGAACAGGTCAGGTTTCCAGATGGAATCCAGCATGGATGGGTCCAGGTCCAGAGAGTCATCGGGGTATTCATTATAGGCCAGACGGGGGTCGTTCCACTGTTGCCGCAGAAAGATGTTGACCCTATAGTCCTGTAGCCAGGAAACAAGGAAGAGGAGGCAGGGTCAGGCCAGGGGACGCCAACTCTCAGAGGGCTGTCACCTTTCAGCCAGGGTTCTCCCAAAATCCCTCCTGGGGGACATTATTGTAGTCTGGTTGCATCTTACATGGGGTAAGAAGTAAAAGTCTGGGGGCTGGGGATGTGGCTCAAGCGGTAGTGCGCTCTCCTGGCATGCGTGCGGCCCGGGTTCGATCCTCAGCACCACATACAAACAAAGATGTTGTGTCTGCCGAAAACTAAAAAATAAATATTAAAAAAATTCTCTCTCTCTCTCTCTCTGTCTGTCTCTCACTCTCTCTTTAAAAAAAAAAAAAAAAAAAAAAAAAAAAAAAAAAAGTAAAAGTCTGTGCCTCAGGGACCTTGAGAGTTGGAATGACTCCAGATAATTCTCTCAATACCTGGCTAAGTATACTCGACTCTGAACTGAGGTTATTTAAATGTTATTATTTCTCTTAAAATTTTAAAAGGTTTTGGGGCTGGGATTGTGGTTCAGTGGTAGAGCGCTTGCTTAGCATGTGTGAAGCAGTGGGTTTGATTCTCAGCACCACATATAAATAAATAAATAAATAAATAAAATAAAGGTCTATTGACAACTAAAAAAAATTTAAAAGGTTTAAAGACTAATGTAATATACACCTGTTTTCATCATCCTCTTTTGTCATGTTTCCTTCATGTTTTTTTGGATAAGAGAAATGACACATTACAGATCAAGCTGTATCATTTAAGTACTGTAACTTCTTTGGACCCCACATGACCCAACTCTCTGCTGAGGGCTTAACTGTCCCTGCTGATCCTGGTGGAGCTGAAAAAAGTCCGTTTAGTTTCCATTCACAACTAGAGGAGGCAATAAATAGTGTGTGTTGGTCTCAGTGGCAGAAATCTGATTAATGCGATTAAATCTTTCATTAGGAAAACTTTTGTATTTTGTCAGTGATTCATGTACCATGAATCATGTGGCACTACAAATAGAATTTGGGGTTTCCCAAGGAAGAAGGGCACAGATTCTGTGTTGGATTCTCAAAAGGTCCTATAGTTCCCCTTACAACTTTTTTTTTTATTTTTTGATACCAGAGATTGAACCCTGGTGTGCTTAACCACTGAGCCACATCCACAGCACTCTAAATAAAATAAAAATATTTTATTTAGAGACAGGGTCTCACTAAGTTGTTTAGGGCCCTGCTAAGTTGCTGAGGCTGGCTTTGAACTGGCAATCCTCCTGCCTCAGCCTCCTGAGTTCACCACCGCCCTTATACCCCCAAAATTAATAACCTCATTTAAGTCCAACTTTATATTCTTTCCTTCAAGAAATAATGTCCAGGGTTGGGGATGTGGCTCAGGGTTAGAGATCTTGCCTAACATATGCAAGGCTGTGGGTTAAATCTCTGCATCTCCACCCCCCCCCCGAGAAAAAAGAAAGAAATAATGTTCACACATGAGGGCCGCTATTGCTCTTTTTCTGAGGGTGATGTATGCATGAGGTCATACTATGTGGTTCTTTTGGTGTGCTGCTTCTAAATCCTCATTAGTTTCAGTTCATCATCATGGGGGAGGGCTAACAGCCTCCCCACTGTGGCCCTTACCCCTGCCTGATTCCTCCCTCAGCACATGCCTCACTGTTTGCCTGCAGAAATATCAATAACTTCATAAAATGTTCCAAGGTATTTTATAGGCTTTTCCTCTAATTTAATCAAAGGCTCTCCCTCCAGCCCCATAGAAAGTGACATTTGGTCTCATAATCTCGTGTCTTATAAGTCCCGTGGTGGAGGGAGAATTTGAGGCCAGGCCTAGATGTAGGTACTTTGTGTTTTTTTTGCTGATGATAATGGACACCTCTGAATCTGGCCCCACCTGACCATGGGGTTGGAAACACCCCCTCTCCCCACCCCTGCGGTTTTACATGGTGTGTGTGTGTGTGTTATGATGAGGAGTGATGAGGAACGGGAAAAGTCCCATCAGAGTGAACAGAATATAAATGGTTTGGCAAAAAGAGTCTTCAGTCCCCAAACCCCTGCTGTACTTTTGATGTCCCTGCCAGTGACATGTCAAGACTGTTTATGTAGCTGGAAGGAAGAAAAGAAAGTGACATTTCTTAAAATGGTCTGTTAGGCACCAGGCGCTGTTCTAGATACTGTCACACACATTTAATTCTCACAAAATCTTTGCAAGCAAACATTCAGATTCCCGCCACGAGGGTAAGGAAGCAGGTTTGGAAAGGTGGAGAAAGTGTCGAAGCGTGGGGTGAGTGAGTCGCAGGTTTGGGATCAGAATTGGCGTGGATGGAACCCTTTAGTGAGTACTCCCACCTGACCTCACATGGGCGCAGGGAGTCGATTCTTGCTGGGGACACCCTCTCTTGTCCTCATTGCTTGGGCAAATTCTGCCTGTTCGGCTTAAGCCTTATCTCCTGCAGGAACCTGGATGCCCTGGCACCTGTAGGCTTTTTTTTTTTTTCCCCTATCTGATCTCCTAGGAGGAGGGAATCACCAGAAGCATTTAGCTGAGCACTTGCTCCCTGTGTGTGACTTATTTTCTCAACTTGTTTGGCAGCAATTTGAAGGGATGTAGCAGATTTAGTTTCTCTTGCTCCATCCCTCCTACCCTCCCAGTCAGTGTGCCTATCAGCTGCCCAGACCCAGGAGAAGGGGAAGCAGAAAAAGTCAGAACAGGTTGGAGCAGAATGGGCTTTCATCCTTTGATAGCTGAAGACACTGAGACCCTGAGGGGGAAGGCCTTATCTAAGGTCATGTAGCATTTCAGGAAAGGACTTGGTATTAGAATCTGGCTCTGTTTCTCTAGACCTCATTGTTAGAAATTAGGTGAGATGGTCTCTAAGAACCTACCCAATCCAATAGCTGAGTGTCATGAGTTTCATTTTACCCAAGAACACTTAACTTAGCATCTACTAAGTGCCAGGCACTGTTCTACATCCTGGGGAATCTTCTGAGAAAAAGAAAGGTCTATTTATTCAGTTACAGAGTCTATAGGGTAATGTTGGTACTATGCTGAGGTAAGGGCTCTGGTGGGGGCTATGTATGGTGCTGGGACTTCAGAAAACAGGTGTTCTGCATCTAGATGCAGGGCTGGAGGTCAAAGAAGTGTCCAGGAAGAAGCAATGTTTAAAGTGAGACCAGAGGTTGAACCAAAGAGGAAAAGCATCTCAGTCACTCGGAAGTACATTTATGAAGGTCTTGAGGCAAAATAAAAGGGTGGAAAGACTGACAGGTAAATGATGAAGGAGAGGAGTGGGAGAAAGCAGAAAGGGTCTTGCAAACCATCCCGAGAAATTCAGATTTTATTGTGACAGTAATATGAATCTTTTGAAGAGTTTTAAGTATAAAGGGACATTATTCCACTTGCATTTTATTATTAGTATTTAAAAATATTCTATTTTTTAATTGCAGAAGTAATGCAATTTGTTGACTGTAAAAAAATTAAAATGTTCATTATCTACAAGAAAAAAATAGAACCCATAGTGTCTCATTATAAGATGACTAATGAAAATTTAAAGCAAGAGACCTGGAGAACATGCTCAGTGTCTGTCCCCAGGCAGCTTGACTCCTTCTGCGGTAGCAGCCGGCTCCTTTTCTCGGCAGCTGCTACCCAAACGAGTTGCCACCATTGATTTTTCTCCTCCCAAGTTGGTAAACAGCAGTGGGAAATGCAGTTCAGAAGAGATCAATGTAATTCGTGTAATAGGCTGAAAGCTAAATGCTGTATTGCTGACTTTGCCTTGTACTTCTGTTGGTTGATGTTCGACATGCTGGGGATCCATGTTCAAGTTCAGGGGCCAGAGAAGCAACATTTGAATTCTTCAGCCCAGAACTCCAACTTCCACTTACAGTAGCTGATTTCTAGGTCTCCCAAGGTAGCCTGTTACCCCGAAGCAGGGAGATTTCTAGAGTTCAAGTCCAACGGTCTTTAGCATCAACTCACTCATCTTGCCTTGAGGTTCCTTGATGCTCTGATTTCTGGTAACTGGGCAACTAGCTGTTTGGCTTCTAGAGCATAAGCTCATCTTTTGTTCATTCTACAAACACATATCAAGGACTTGCTATGTGTCACCTGCAGTTAGATCCGTCCCCATCCATACCCTTACTGTGTCTAATTTGAGATTCTAACTTCTAGTAAGCTCTTAATTTAGTATTGCAGTAAAATAGAACGAAGCGCTTTAATAGGAAAAAGCTAAGAGGTGTGAGTTGGTGGGAAGCACACGATTTAGCTTATTTTATCCTTAAAATAATCCCATGACATAGCTAGGTTCACCCTCATACTATTTTGTTCACATCCCACAGTTGGTAACGGGTGGGGAGGGCTGGAGTTTGAACCTATTTTATCTCATGATATAGAGTCCTTGCTTCGCATCACTGTGCTGTCATAAGGCGGTGAAATGAAGGGACGTGAGCTCTGGATATGCTTGATTGTCAAACCAGGGTATTTGCCTTTTATTTTGTAGCCCATTTGACACCGTTGAAGACTTACAAGGTGGACCGGTATCAAAGTTCAACTTCATAATCAGCAGGGCAGGGCTGATCGTGAGGTATTGGAAATGAGAGGAAACAGATACAGTGAGGTCTGGTTTGAGGCCGTTTGACAGTCCCGTTTAAAGGGTAAGAAGAATCTAAACTAAGACAGTAGGAAAGGGAACTGGGCATAAGCAAGAGAATCGTAGTTATTGATCATCATCATCATCATCATCATCATTTGCACCATCAAATATTATAGCTAGAAAGAACCTTGGGGACCTCTGTCTTCTTCATTTTACACAAGGCTCAGAGAAGGAAAGTGCCTTTCTCCAGGCCCCACATCAATTAAGTGACTAAGATGGAATGCATATGAAGTCATTTTTACTTCTATCCTACTTCTTTCTGTTTCTATATTTTATACTTTTGGAGGTAGCCCCAGGCCCAGGAGTAAGGGAGCACAGATGAATCCGCCGTCAGGCTGGCTCAGCTTTCCTGAAGAAGTTTTAGC